AACCGCGGACGTCGCGAGCCTTCACTTCCAAATCGTGCATCGGAGGCGGAAGGTGTGTCGGTCGAATCGCGAGACTTGAGCCAAGTCTTTTCGAAGCTAAAAGCAAGGAGGAGAATTGCTTGTTCTCCTCGTTGCCTACACCGGTTCTCGAGCCACCAGTGCGAGAGTGGAAGAGAAATTCACCCTGTGATTATACTTCGTGTAATGACAATTGTGACAACAATTCTTAGAATAAACGGTGACGTGTTAAATTAGAGCCAAATCACTCCAGCGTTCTTCCGGTGATCACAGAAACACCCTGCCTGACGCTTTCCTGTCCCAAGCGCGTACACTCTGCAATTCTAAAATTTTCAAAATTTTCTAGAGAGGTTTGGTAACTTCCCCCTCCATGGATTTTTGGATTATTTATTTTTATTTTATTTAAAGAATTTAAGGAGCTCTTTCTTTCTGGCTCTCTTAAATAAGATTCTGTCGCATTGCGTAGTGAGGTTTGGTAACTTCCCTCCTCGCAATCGACGGGAGAAATTGCTAGAGGAGTCTGGAAACTTTCCTCTGCAATTCTAAAATTTTCAAAATTTTCTAGAGAGGTTTGGTAACTTCCCCCTCTATGGATTTTTGGATTATCTATCTCGGGAAGGATTTCGAGTTCCTCTCCTCGAGTATTTTTATTTAATTCTTTGCTCTCATATCTTTATTTTCGTTTTTATTTTTCATTTTTTCATCCTCATTGGTGCGGTTTGGTATTTCGCTCTGGATCTCATCGTCTTCAGAGCTTTTCGAGTCTTTAGAACTACTTCGTATATTCGTAATTTCTGTTTCATGATCGTTGAGTAGTTCAGTTAAAGGTTTAAGACGAAGGGTAGGTACCTGCACTTCTACTTCTTCATCTAGAGTGCTTACTGCTTTTAAATATGCCTTTCCGGAGATGTTTTCTACGATGGTATCCCCTAAATGAATTCCGTGAGCTATTTTTAATTTTGGCAGATATCCTATTTTTATTTCCGGATTTTCTACTCTTACATAAAATAATGATTCGGTTCGGGGAGGTGTTATAATAGTTTCCGGTGAAAAGAAATCTATTTTAGTTCCCGATATATCTAAGTATCCCTTCGCGTAGTCTAGTTTTGAAGAGGTCTGTTTGAAAAAATCATTGCCTAATATGCCAGCTTGTGGGATCGGAAAATCGTCCGCTACCGTGTGGGAAAACGACTTGTGTTCCGAAAACCGGCAGGGTGACCTCTCCGAGAGTATATACGGGATGTTCATTTATGCCGTTTAGTCTTAGGATGTTAGTGTAATTGGTATGGTAGCCTTTGGGAATAAAGTTTTCTTTAATTATATTTGGTCCAGATCCTGTATCTAACATTAAAGTTACAAGGGGAACTAAACTATTAAATCTTGCCTGAACGGTAGGCACGCGACTGTGTTTATCGAGTGTTACTGTTACAGGTCGTATTTCTGACACCCTTTTTTCTACTGGGTTTTTTGTGACGTCGATGGGTGTGAAATCCGTTCGGGCCCTCGCTCTACACCCGACTTCGAGGGACCGTTGGCGTTTCCCTGGATATATGCTTGCCTACAATTATTACTGGCAACGCGAAGCTCGCAATTCTCGAGGAAGTGCCCCTGCTGCTTACATTAACGGCAGAATACGGAGTTTTTAGATTCTTTATTTTGCTCCGTTTTGGATCGACAATCTTTTGCAATATGGCCAATGTTATTACATATTTGACAGGTAACCCTCAGTTTATTTCCTACATTTCTTTGTTCATTCTGTTTTTTCCAGCAATTATTTGCTGAATGTCCGGGTTTATCACACCATTGGCAAATTATCGAAGGTTTGTACGGTTCGTTATTGTTATTCATCCGACACGCTTTGGCGTTGTGCCCGATTTTAGAGCACAACTGACAGATAATGCTACTTTCTTGCACTATATTGACGGATTGACGAGTCTGAGGATCACGTAATTGGCATTTATCGGCACTATGTCCTCGTTTCTTACAAATCTGACAGATTAAAATTTCTGTTCCTAAGGGAGATTTGTTATAGGACTGTTGAGTTAGTTTCCTACAGGCAGAGGCCGAATGCCCTTCTTTATAGCAAATTTGACAGGTTTCTCGCAATCGGTTCTTCTCTGAATTGTTATTTTGGCCTTGTCGTAAATCTGTGATGTCGCGGAGTTCTCTTTCTATCCTTAATGCGTCGGCCACCGTGGCCTGAACATCTAAATCTCTCGCGATTCTCTGTTCAATATCAGGTTTTAATCCCCTGATAAAGCATTTACACATGTCTTTCTCTAGTGATGATTTGAGATTTGAAGCGGGTAGAGCATTTCCTGAATTTTTGTGAGCTTCTAATATTTGTTTCCCTAACAATTTTAGGCGGTTGGCATATGTAACCACATCTTCACCAGTTTTCTGATAAATACAGCCTAACTCTCCTTGTAATTGGTAAACATTCTTTGCAGGGTTGGGTAGTGTCTAGTTAAAAAGTTAAAAGTTAAGTTAAAAAGTTAAA